GCATCAAGTAGAATCAGATGATGTTCCTTAGGGAATTTATTCCTTAGGGAATTTATTGCTGCCTGGCAATAGAAAAAAGTTAATTAAAATAACAATTTGAAAATAGTCTAAAATGACATAAAGGAAAAATAAAACAATCTATAGAAAATTAAGCTCATTCTCTGGCTGAGGATATGATGTAGTATGACATTTATCCCTAAAACATTAAGATATGGTAATAGTGATGTCGGTGGGCCCAAAGGGTGACTAACGTGAAGCGAGGAGGAGAAAGACAGTCACTTTCTCGCCACCCGCCTCTGCCACTCGGGACCCAGGGTTACTGGGTTCTTGTCTCGCCTTGCAGAAAGGAATTTCAGGAGTAGACAAGCAGTGAAACAAATAGATTTTATGCCTGGTTCCATTAATGAATTCTTTGACTATAAGTCCAAGACAGTAAAATTTCCCATGTTAATTAAACACCATTAGGTGTCCTATTAGGGACCTATCTCCATTAAAATACTTATCCATTCATTGTTCATCTGCAAGTCTTTTGATATTTGCTGATAAATTTTTTCCCAGTGAATTTCTAGATTCAACAATTTCTAAGCCCAGCGTCAGGGCAATACCTATTTAAAACTCTAACCAGTAATTGGCTTCAGAGGAACTTCCTAGGATCTAAAAATGTCTTTCTAAGCACACTTTAAATCCTTTAGAATTTACTCATTTTATATAAGAGAGAGTAAAGAGGGATGAGGAGACATCAAAGTTCCTCTTTTAGCTGATGGTGACAGGAATTTGAACAGGCTCAAGTATCCAGAGATCAGGGATGTTAACAAGAATGATTGTCTCTGTTAAAATAAAAAAGTATCCTTTCAGTCCCTTGAAAGTGTAAATTAAACTGAATAGTTGCCATAGAGGTCTAATTTCGTTCTTTCAGAAAGCTTTTTCCTTATTTTATAAAATGATTTGCATAATAAAGGGCCACTGTGGTTGGGGAAAGAAGTTGTAGGACTAAGGAATAAGAAGAGTGGAAGGAAGGGCAAATTCTTCATGCTGTTTATAAAATATATTCTGCACGTGGTTTTATATCCTCAGTGAATTTTGGCCTGTTTTCACCCAGAAGACTGTTAATTCACAATATATAGTTTCTAAATTATTAGATAAGAGATTAGTAGCTCATGATTTCTTTAACTGTGCACAATTTTCTCGAGGGCTGGAGTGATAGCACAGCGGTAGGGCGTTTGCCTTGCACGCAGCCGGCCCGGCCGACTGGGGTTCGATTCCTCCGCCCCTCTTGGAGATCCCAGCAAGCTACCAAGAGTATCATGCCCACAGGGCAAAGCCTGGCAAGCTACCCGCGATGTATTCAATATGCCAAACACAGTAACAACAAGTCTCACGATGGAGACATTACTGGGCCCACTCGAGCAAGTCAATGAATTTTCTCGAAGTGCTGTTAAAATCAAATCGGGGACAAAGGAAATATTACAGCTCATAAGGCACTTGCTTTGCATGTTGCTGACCTTTATTTGATCCTTGGAACCCCGTAAGTCCCCTGAGTCTACTAGGACTGATCCTTGAGCATAGAGCCAGGAGTAAGCCCTAAACAGCCAGGTGTGGTCCAAAAGAACAGCAGCAGCAACAACAACAACAACAACAACAACAAACACCGAAGATTGGGGGTGGAGGAGATAGGTACTGAAGTATAGGGATTAGGGACTTTCCATACCCCAAACTCAAGTTTAATCACTGGCATCACGTATGGTCTCCTGAGCACTTTCAGGAGTGATCTCTGAGCACAGGGCCAGGAATAAGGCCTGGGCACCACTGGGTGTCCTGGGTACAGTTTAGGAATAAAAACATCTGCCATGCAATTGAGTTTGATACTTGGTGCTACCAATCAGTGCTGAGCATTGTCTCGGGCTCTCCGGTATAGAATTCCAAAGCTTCAAAAGATATGATCACCCGCACACAGCTAGGTTTGTGAAAATACCACAACCAAACACTTGAACTAAAGATGTGTGAGCACTGTGAACAGGAGTGTGACTCTTGGCGAGTACTATAATCAGAATTTGAGTGAGCACCACAAACAAGCATGTATGACCACTGGTCATATAAATAGAAGCAACAAAGGGACGAGAAGGGGGAAAATATATTCAATAAAACCAACGTGTGTGTATTTTTTTTTTACAATTTGCTACCCAATTATTTAATAATCGGCTTGCATCCCTCTCTTTAATGTGTTTCAGGTCGGCATTAAGTACATCTCGCTGGTCAGCAGGATCCAGTTACCAAGGTCAAAGAGAGGAAATGCTTGCACCAGGTCCAACAGGTCAGTTAGCTGCCAGCCACTAAGCTTGACCATCTGGAAGTTCTAGTGCTCACTTTCTACCCTTCATTTCCTGTAATCACAGAACTTTTTCCATCTTGAAAACAAACATTATTATAGAGATTATTAGTGTGTCAGGTACAGCATTTATAGGCTTTTCAAACAATTATAAGCAATTTGAATTTTGAACAGATTCATAATAGCTTTGATTCATTTGCATTTTAGAGTTTAAATCTGACATTATAATGTTAATTATAACTTATTTGAACATCTATTGGTATGAACAGTGTCAGAATGGCAGGTAATTAAAACAGACAGTACATCTTGTATCCTCAGTGTGGATTTTGTATCCATGTGGATTTTTCAGAATGCTGCACAATGTACCCCGCTGTTGTAACAAGCTTTTATTGCACCAAATTGTCCATCATATCCATCCAGGCAATTCTTCTAGCCTTTCATCTTTGCAAATGAGCATTTAGCAAGATGCAGTGGAAAAGAAAGATTCCATAGAAATTGATGATTAGGTTTCCTATTTGACTCCATGCTTTTGCCATTTCTTAGATCTCTTTTAAACTTAAGTTCTTCCAGTAGGTAGGAAATGCCTCCTAGGTGCCAAACACTTTTACAGCCTCTGAAAATACACTATGAACAAAACACAGAACAGTCATGGCCCTCTGAGGCTGACACTCTGCAGGGGTAGGGGATTGGTAAATGGATACGTGATACCTGAATGGGTCAAACTAGCGTACAGATATCCTGCCTGAAGTCTATTCATTATAGTGCCTCCTTTTTGGGCAAAGGAGAGGCAAGGAACAGCAGTAATTGAACTCATCCGCCTTCCATCATCTCTAAGTTTGGTGAAGTTAAGTCATTCCTTTAACCAACCTGGGATTGAGTTTCCTCATTTATAATATGGGGGAGAGGTTGGATAAACAATTATTTTTAAAGGAGAAGGGTCTTTTCATGCTTATGCTTTTCATGATTTTATGGGAATATCTTGAACTAAATCAAGAGTCAGTTTGTTGACTGTTCTATGCCTTAAAACATCTTTATAAATAATATTAAAAATATCCGTAGGTAGTTCACATAAAGGCGACACCTTAAATGCTAATCTAAACTGTCATGAATACTAAACATCTTATTTGTAACTATTATAGAATTGTAATTTTATCATGAGAAATCATTGCAACTTTTATAAATAAATTTGAACTCATTTCTTTTGTCAATGTTGTGGTCCCATGTCACTTGTGAAATGTTTCCTAGCTGTAACATACTCTAGTAGATATGACATCATCTCTGCCTCCTGCTGGCCCCGATCATCAGCCTGGTGTCTTGTTTAACTTTTCCCTTGTTCTGTGAAAACAAGGGTAGGGTTCTAGCTTGTTTTATGACCAACAAAAATTAACAACCCACATTAGCTCTTCAGGCTATAAGAACACTTTATCTTAGAAAAAGAATTAATGTGTGTGAAGATGCAATATAGAAAGCACATTTCTAGAACGATTTACAGACAATAGAATAAAGCGAATTGATAAATATGCTCACCTCTTTAGAAGCTCTGGTGGAATGTTAATGTATATTAAATAATGCAAGTGAAGTAATGTGAATTCTGCAACCAGTTAAATTTTCTTCTAGAAGATAATGTAGCTCGAGAGCTGAATGTCAAATAAGAGTAAGACTATTTATTAACCTTTGCAGGAGTTACAAAGTCTCTGATTCTCTTGAAAGGCAAATTGCACTCACTGGTTTGATTTTGAAATACAGAAACTCAAATTTCAATCAATCCAGCAAGCCAAAGAAGACAGGAAATTTCACAAGACCATAGCAATCACCTTTTCTTATCTGCAGCAGATCCCTACCGACACTATAGAGTTTTAACAGTTAGCACACAATAAAATATCACACATATTTTCAAATTTGATCAGCTGGGCCCTATCCAAAGGACACATCTAGTCAGTGCCTTTGAAGGTACAGTGAAACATCTGTTTCAATAACTGCATTTAATTTCTTCCTGTTGCCCCATGGTGTCATGATATATAGTGTCAATGTTATCAGAGGTGCCTATCATGTGTGTATGTGTGTATGTGTGTGTGTGTGGGGGGGCTGCTATGCTCACAAGACTCTAACTCGTTCTTTCAGTTCCTGAAGAGCAATAATGCCCACACCTTGCTTGGGTAAACACTACTACTTCAGCACAAGATGGGCAGAGGCATTCCATGTGACCTTGAAGAATCTTGAAACTACATCACAATATCTAAGTCAATAAACGGTACATAAAACAGCGCTTGTATAGACTATGACATGAGGACAGGTTCAGCAGAAATCAGCTGTATGAATGAGGTCAGAGAAAGAATGAGAGGAGGTTTAGATTTGGCAAATTATGTCTCAGTTACAGATCAATTCTTGTTAGCAAAGGAAAATACACTTTTATGTTCCTAAATCTCATACAAATTTGATATAGACATAACATTTGAAAATGTGTTTCAGGGTCTGGAGTGATAGTACAGTGGGGAGGGCGTTTGCCTTGCACGCAGCTGACCCAGGCTAAATTCCCAGCATCCCATGTGGTCCCCTGAGCACCGACAGGAGTAGTTCCTGAATGCAAAGCCAAGAGTAATCCCTGTGCATTGCCGGGTGTGACCCAAAAAGCAAAAAAAAAAAAAAAGTGTTTAATTTGTCGAATATCTGTCCCAAATGAGAATGCAATTCCATCTTCACAAGGTTAGGAAGGAGGAATGATGAAGATCTGCTGCTAAGAAGCGTCTTTTCTTCATCAAGCCTGTGCCCTTCCTAATCAGTTCAAAGGGTGAACGGTTCAGTTGCAAGAATGCACCCAGCTGGCTTGGGCTTGAGGTCTCCAGAAAGTCACTGCACAGTGAACTCTCCAAGATGGTAGGCGTGGCCTGCAAAGGGCTGTACTCTTAAGTCCAAACTTCAGTAGGCACGATGGCTTCTTTGGTTCCAACAGAAGGGAGTAGGTTTTCTTCAGACAAGAAATAAAAGGGAAATTGCACCAAAAACCCACGAATCTTTTTCAGTTCCTCTTCAGCTCTCACAGGATCTTCCTTTGCTAATATGGGCTTGCTTATAAAGTCTCTCAGCTGAATTAAATTGTGTACTTCATCATTAGGAAGACACCGGAATACCTGATTAAAATAAGAAAAGTAAATGGATAAGTTTCAAAGAAAGCATTTTACCCTTTTGGAAGCATATTTGTTCCCAGAGACAAAACTTAAGTTTTTTATGAAACACGTACTAGTTTCATGTCACTGAACACACCTGATGGAAGAGTTGTTTCTCTACTGCCACAAAGAGACCACTAGATTTAATTTGAAAAATCAAATATATTTTTCTATCTCATATACATAAGTCACTAACCCCCTTTCCACCTCAATTAATGCCAAAACTTTGGTAAGGAATTTTACTGATGTAACACATTATTCAGCTAATTACTTGGACATGAGATAATATAAGAGGAAACACATAATTTTCTTAAGTTTTAACTTTGAACAATTACCTTTTCTATAAAGTTATCAGCTATGTACTTATTCTGCTAATTAAGGGGCACTCAGACATCATCAAGCTTTATCTCTTAATACTTCAACATGTATTTCTGAAAATCTTAGCATGTGCCTACACAAATACAATGTCACTCTCATAGTCCAGATATGGTACATTTAAGATATGATACATGTTCAGATTTATAGCATTGACCCTCAATGTTTCTTATATGTTACTCTCTAATCCAGGATGCAAAAAGGCTGTTTATTGTACTTTTAAAATTGTATTTTAGAATACTTCATATAAATGATGTTTGAATGTGGCCTTGAGTTCTCAATTTTAAATAATTCATGATTTTTTTTTACTTTCTGCTTTTTTTTAATTCAAGAAAGCATTTCACTATAATGTGGAGCTTATTGATTTTTATATTCATTGAGAATATTGTGAACCAATAACTTGTAGAAGTAATGATGTGGTTTTTGTGCTAAGATTAAATTTAAGAGAAATATATAAACCTTACCTTGTCATAAATTGTAGCATTTCGAGCTGCTGTGGAAATCCACACTTCCTTAAAGAATTTTTCGCTTACTGGATCCTGAATATCCTCACTTGGGTCAGAAAGATATCCAAGGACAACCCTGAAATAAAATGCCCTCCAAAGTGAGTAAGCAGTTTGCTACAGGTATTGTTTTGAGTGCCTAACAAATCTAGGCACTAAACAATACATCTTCCCCCACTCATTTATTTAAAAAAATCAAATTAAGTTACTGAAACTAAGTGTATGTGCATACGTCCACATGGCACCCATGTGCACACCTTGGCCATCTGTATGTAACCGAAATTCCAAAACACACAAACACAAACCACTATGTTTTTATTGTGCTCGAAAACTATAGTTAACTACTGGACAGAGAAAGACACTCATTTTGTTACAAGAGTGTCCTTGTAATATGGTCTTAGATGGTGAAAATCTTGGCAAATAGGAATGAAAATGGGCTGAATGGGACATAAGGACAGTGGTGGAGAGTTGTGGGTAGTGGGCATTTTGGTGGTGAGAGATTTGCAGTAATTTTGTACATCAATAGCATAAATTTTAACACTTATGTAACCATGTTACCTAAAATATATTAAAATCCTCCCTGCCTCCCTCCATCCTGCCTCCCTCCCTTCTTTCTTCTCACTCTCCCTCCCGCCCTTCCCTACCATCTTTCCTTCTTTCCTCATTCTCCTTTCTTCCTCGCTTTCCTCCTAACTTTTCTTCCCCTCCCCCAACCAGTGCTCAAGGGTCATTTCTGGATCTGCAGTCACAAGTACTCCTGCCCAGCTTGGGGGACCATATGGGTTGCCTGCTATTGAACTTGGGTTGGATGCATACAAAACGAATGTCCTACCCCCAAAACTTTCTCTCCAGCCCTGGAATTTAATTTTAAATTTGTTCAGTCATCTATTAAATATTCAAGTGGCAACGCTATGTAGGAAGTTGGATAAATGAATCTGGGTTTTGAGAAAGTAGACTTGGCTGGAGACAAAAATTTGCCAGTTACTTGTGTGTCTCTCTGTGTGTGTTCACAAAACCATTTCACTTAAACTGAGCAAGTACAAATAGAGGCTAGGACAGGGAGCACCTCAACCTCAGTGGAGAAGAGAAAGAGCCAGCAAGGCTGAAACTAAGTCAGAGGCTGTGCAGCCCTAGAACCATGCAAAGAAGTACAGGGGAACTGTGTCAATCTCAGAAGAGAAATAACTATCACTGAATTTAACAACGTGGAGGAGATTATATCGTTATCCTCATTATATTTAAATACATATATTTTTGCACCATCATTTCTAATGGACGAATTCCTCATCATGAAAAACTTTAACCAATTATGTCCTTTTGGATGGTTCCTAGCTTTTCATTAGTATGAACAATGTTATATGACCACAATATAATCATCTAATATGTATGAATTTTCCATGATTATCTCAGTCAGTGAATTTTAAAACTAAAATTTATGTGTCAAAGTTCATGTAAAATTTACTTCAGGAATATTGTTTCAGCTTAGATGTTATTAACTATGCTTGTTTCTCCCAGTCATCACTGATATTTATTAAGTCCTGAAAAATCTCAGCCTGTTTTCCAGGGGCAAAATGGTATTTCACATTCATGATTCTACACTGTTTCTACAAATTATTTTACATGTAAAAATTCATTAAAATAAATGGCTCTGGTACTAGGAGTTCATTATGATTCTTAGAGTTTTTATCCTCAAAATCCTATTTCTACTTCAAGTAGTGTCTCCTTCAAATGACACAGGAATAACTTTCAAAAGGATTTAAGGAATAATGTTCGCACAGAAATTTTGTGCATAATGTAGACCCAAAGCAAAATTTTACTGCATCAAATCTGAAAGTTGGTGCAAATTATGACAATAAGTCAATTATAATAATATCTTTGATTTGGGTCAGGTCTAACAAACTGAATACCAAACGAAAAGAATATGTCTATGACATTGCTTTTAAATTAAAAGAAGAGGCAAGGAAAAGGATTTAAATAACTATACAAATAACATCTAGTAGTAAATTATTTCCCATGAGGCTTTTTATAGTAAGAAATTTATATTAAAATTCATAACAAAAATAATATGGAGGACTCTGTGTATTCTTTGGCAGACTAAGATGTGAGAGGAAAGTATTTTGATTTCAGGTTGACCTGTATAAATGGCAATTTATGTTTGTGTATTTCTGAGAGAGCAAAAAAGCTACAGATAATTATTTTTTGTTCTTCCATTCCTCATGTCTAGTGCCTTAAAGGATTCTAAGCTTGACTTGTGTAGATAATGGTCTCTGGTGAGCGATAGTTACATCTTTAAAGTTTGGGTAATTTTCTAGAGTTTAATGAACTATTCAGCACACAGTTATGGCAGTCAGTGAGTACCCTGATGGCTGATTCCACTTAGAATTGACTTCACACTGAAATGTGTCTATTTCTATTCAGAAATAGCCCAGATGGAAAATGGATTGAGGCTGCATTTTTTAAGTGAGAAAATGGCTGTGCACTAAGCCGCAATATTTATCTTTGAGAACATTTCCAAATAAAAAGATCTAAAATCAACACAAGATTTTTTGTGGTGCTTTTAGATATATTTCCTGCATTTGCATTGGGAGACAGAATGAAAATGATTGTTCAAAAACAATTGCTGCTTTAAGGCAGTTTGAAAATTTCCAGGAAGTATCAGGGCACCTAGGAGTAAATTTAGCATAAAATGAAGAGAGTCAGCACAAAAGATGAAACTAAAACTCTAGTGATAATTGAACAACCATCACAATTCCCAGATAATAAAAACACAAATTTCTATTGAATAACAAACAAAATTTAAATAAATTGAAGTTCATCCATTGTTATTCAATAGAAAGTCTTCATACTACAAAGATGGTTTTAAAAAAATATATTAATGACTCTATAAGTCTGGTATAATTCCAATTTAAGAAAATGAAAACTGTGAGGGTCCCAGAGAATGGCACAGTGCCTGTCTTGTGGGTATAGCAAAAGTTCAGTCCTTGGTGCCATCACATGCACTGAGTAGAGTTCCAACACCTCTTCTGGTTGTTTTTGGCAGCTTTGCTGTCCAGGACCCTCATCAGTGCAGGTATTCCAGTCATACTGCAGTCAAGAGTGTGTGTAGCACGGCCAAAGGAGCAGCCCCTGGCAAGCATGCACCCCTGTGGGACGCCCACAACCAAGCATGCATGCTAACTCTGCTCCTCGCAACAAGTCAGCAGAGAGAAGGAATGAGGGGAAACAACAGAACTTGAATAAAGATTCTAAAGTTATAAGAATTACCTGCAGAAAAACATTTAAAAGCAGTCAAGAAGCCAGAGAGATGGGTTCACGTGCAGGACTGGCCCATGGCCAACCCTGACTCTATCCCTGGCGCTACAGATGGTCCCCCCAGACATCACTGGGGGAGCACCACAAAGTGTGGCCTGGATTACCCAGGAAATCCCAGGACTTCAGGATAAGGGTAGTGCTGCATCCTTAAGCCTTGAATTGTTGCCCAATTTGGTCAAGAATCACCTAGAGGGGTCCCAGGTCTCCTGAGAACTGCTTGGTACTCCTCACAAATAAAATAGAAAATAAAAGGAGTCACGATTCTGGAGATTACTGATTTGGGCAAATATATGGAAAAAATAGTATGAAGGGGAATAGATACAAAAATGAAAACAGTATCATGTTGACTTGACAGTAAACTTGTGGTAGAACTTAATGGAGAGGTCAGAGATAAGTTCGAAAGTGGGAATTTGATGTGCCATTCATTATGAGGAGAGCAGTCAACAGTTGCAGGTCAGTTGCTTAGTTGAAGGTAAAAGAATATCATTTATTACGTTTTAAAAACGCTACAAAAAGTTATACCAAACAAACACTAGAAGAAATTAAATTTGATTCACTTTATTTAGGGGTGGGAATACTATTTTAAACATATGGGAGGGGGAGGGGAGGATTAATATCTCAAAGGCCTGGGCACATGCCTGGCAAGCATGAAGTCCCAAATTTGACTCTCACCACTAGACAGCTTCCAGGAACACCAGTGGGAGTAACTCTGGTGGCCCCCAGAGGAGCTGGGCTTGAGCACCTGAATGCTGAAAGGCCTAAACAATAGGTTGAGTGTTGCTGGGAGTGCCCTGAGGCCCCTGAATGTGGCTTGGGAGGCCACTACCCCTCCAAGGGGAAAAAACAACAATAACAACAACAACAAAACTCAGATATTTAATTAACTGAAATTTTCATCTATGGGACTGGAGCAACAGTCCGGTGGGTAGGGCACTTGCCAATCCCCAGCACCACATATGGTCCCCCAAGCCTGGAAGAGTGAGCCCTGAGCACAGAGCCAGGAATAAGACACCAGGCCTGGCCCCAAAGCCAAAAACAAACAAACAAAAAATAAAAATTCTTGCATATGGGCAGAAGAGAAACAAATGAAATAATAGAACACAGCAAAGACTAAGGAATAAAACCCTCTGAAACTCATTAGAATTTCAACAGAACAGAGGGATTTTGTGAAAATTTAGCCAAAGAAACAATGGAAAAAACAAGATGCTATCACTATACAAATGTTTTTCTGTTCGTGATAAAAAAAATTACCTATTTATTAGATATTAATGAAAGGAATGATGGCATATTCATAAGCTTTAGTACAGTAAACTGTCAAAATATATATAAAGATATGGAAAAGTGTAACAGAATTTTTACTCTATAGAGCTGTGAGAGCTAATTATAATAGTAAGATAGTAAAATAATACATATGTATGGGGAAAAAAGTAAGATAATTTACTTCAAATGTTAATTTGTTAACATTTTACCACATATGGTTCTCTGAATGCTGCTGGGGACCACTCCTGAGCACAGAGCCAGGTATGGGCCCTGAACACAAAAGCCAAGCAGAGCCCAGTCCACCCTCCCCACCTGCCTAAAAAGAAATGGTCAGCACTGGATTATAAAAATGAAGCTACTTTTTTCTTCTTTTATATCATCATTGCTTCTTAATTCTTTTGCTTTTCTACAGTTGAAAATGTTCTACAATGAAATGATGTAAATAGAAGCCCTCCGACACTATAATAGTTATACATTTAGAAAGTTAAGAAATCCACCAACCTAAAA